TGCCAGTTCATCTGCTCGTAGACTTTGCAGGAGATAAAAAAAGAACTTTCCTCCATTAAGGTCAGCTCATACTTGTGTGCATTATCTTCTTGTTTTGTCATTCATGTCTTTATGCATGTAGCCTGTTTATCAGTTGTAATTATTATGCATATTAAACACTTAATAAAAAAGAAAAACTTGAGATTTCAGAAATATTTTCTATCTGAATGTATAGATGCTTCTAGCACTTTTAAAAAAATTTCTAGAGGCTGTTTTTTAAATGGATTGCTGAAAAGCATGAACTATACATACCCCCTTCTCTAAAACAACTTGATACAGAATAATAAAAGACATTTAAGAAGACTGCTGTAGATCCACACATGCAAATGACTTTATTTTGTAATAAGAATCACTATACAGCTAGAGGAAGCTCAACAGCACAGGACAGTTTCTTCACAACTCTTAACTCAATCTTTTTCCTTTGAGTTTTAAAACTGTAAAAATGAATGCTGCTACTTCTCAAGATTGGTTTTAATGTCTCTTGTAAGTGCCAAGCAGAAGCACTATTTGTAGCAGGCCAATCTCAGTTCAGCCAGCGCAGGGGAGGGTGTGTGTGAGGGGGGAACGATGATTTGGCTAAATGTTTCCTAGAGCACCAGGCCAACACCAAGGTATTGAATTGAAAGAGCAAACTCATTTGTAAAACCTTTGAGAAGTTTACTACATAAGCAAACACCATAAAAGTTAAATGCTTGCATTTCCAGTGCTTCTCATAGCTTTAGTTTCCTGTACCATGGGGCAACTTCTGTAGAAATGCGAGCACTGGGTAGTTCCACCCTGAAAGTGACTCCATGACCCTTCTACACTGCAGCTATAAAACAATTTCCTAACTACAGATTCCTCTTGCAAGTCAAAACTATGATTAAATACATTTAAATAAACCCCATAAAATTTATAATGTGGCTTTAAAATATATGACCATGCTATAAAAAGATGGACTAGAAATTAAAATTGTTAAATCATGCAGAAAGACATGTCCAAAAGAGAAGCTAGAAAAGTTGCTCAGGTATTGATTTTAATCTTTATTTATAAAGATTATTTCCACTGTCCATTTACTATATTTATTCTATACTGATCTACGTCTTATCAGTTTTATCCCCCTACTCTCTCATAGGCGAATTTCCTATTCATGTACATGTCTTTTACTAATAGGCTCATTGAGCACGGGAAAAACAAGGGAAATTCAAATATTGGAGAACAACCCATATGTAGGGGTGGTGCTCCCTGAAGGCTTTCTTCAAGGAAGTTTCATGAGAGACAAAAATATCAGCCAACATTTTACATACATACCTATCCCAATCTTAGTGTTTCTGTATTCTCTAGATTAAATTTTACTCTCCAATGTGTGTCTCGCATTTCAGCTATCATTTGGCTCCAAACAGTGAGCTAAAACCTGGGCTACATATAGCACACTTCTTGTAGAAGTCAAAACTATTCCTGCACCTTCTAAATCTGCCCTAGAAAATGCAAGTTGCTCTAAAGAGATTTTATAATTTTTTTCCTTCAGTGAGTGAGAAGACCCTAGTGAAGATTAACTTGAAAAAGCAATAGTGACTAAAATCTTAGAAAAAGATAATATAGTTATAAAGCATTGAAAATTGTTCTTGTCTTTGTAAGTACTACTTTGAGCAATTTCAGATCGATGCAGAAAGAGTCGGGGCACCTCAAGATAGAATATAATTCTGTAGACATGCTACCACTAGAGAAACTCTAATTCAAATCTGAATTATGAGAAAGGTCAGGGAGTTGCTTTACAACTGGAAACCACACACAACTGTATGTGTTATTTCTTTGTGCACGAAGTTAAAAATATATACAAAATATTGGCATTTATATTGCCAATATCCAAACTTCAACACAAATAAACTGTTATTCCTGCTATTTTTCATTTGTTGAGGGCAAAGTACTCCTCACAAGTACTTGGAAAGACTAAACTAGGTCTGTTCCACTGTACAATTCCAGGATGCAAGACATTAGGCCACAAGTAACACAAACAAATTTTGACAACAAAGAAGATTCTAACAACAAAGAAGATTCTAACTTGATTAAGAGAGAAGACAATATCCATTTTCCAAAAGCAAGCCAAGTAAATTAGTTATTCATTATTATTATTCTCAGATGCCAAATTTTACTGCCATGTAAGTATGCAATTTAAAAAATTGTACCAAGTTATTAACACTACTTTTTCCATTGCTAAAATTGGAATGCTGTCAAGCCAGCTAATAGCAATCAACATACTCTGCATTTCAAGGTTAATGAAACAGTTCTATTCTTATAGCAAACATGACCACACTGAATTGTTGCCAAAACATTCCTGGGACCAGTGCTCAGAAGCAGAGGCCAAATTTTTCAACACCATCCAGTAGGAGATGAAGGACAAAGGATTATCAGCTGAAAAACAAATCTACGTGAACACAAACTTTGCCTATCACAATGAGCATTTGCTGTGTGCCTAACACCTGTTATTTTCAGCCAGTACTATCCCTACAGAAATCTGTTTAGTGCTTGTGTTTCTCTCATGTAAGGAAAAAAATATTTAAAAGAGTATGGCAACATAATCCTAAAACCAATTGTAATGATCATAAACAAGCCTGCAACAGACTTCCAATCATAAAAAAATGGTGTAAGAAGAAACTGTAAAAAACCAAACAAAATAACCCCCCCTGTCCCTTCATCTCTCGGATTGTTTTTCTTCTGGGATGGGGGAAAGGCTTCAGAGGGGAAGATGGAAAACACCTCGTGATTCATCATTTTCCAAGATCATGAAGCCTGCCACAACATTCCCTCATCCTATTTTATCTACAGTTATGACAAACCAGGCTCACTTATTCTCTTTGTCATTTGTAACAGCTTATGCTCTCCAAAGTGGCAGCACTACCTGTTAAATACAGGTATATATCCTTTATGTACATGTATACATGCATACTGCTGAATACCACAGCTTGATAGTTAAGATTTATTTAAGTCCTACACGTTTGGAGGTTGTCTATGTCACCCTTAGTACAACGTAAAAACAGCAAATGTCTAATTGAAGTCTCCCTTAGTTTGAAACTATGACTGTTACCTACATTAAAGACACACTATGTTTTATTAATTCCTAAATTTTTTATGCAAATGCATAATCATAACACTACTACCTGTATGCATCTTTTCTCACAAATTTTTTTTTCAGAAGAAATTAACTTGAACAACATTTAACTGAAATCACTAACACTTTCAGTTGATGCACAGCTAATCATCCAAAAAAATAGTTTCAGTTCCTTGACCTACATCCCAGCCAGTGCTCAGCATTTTAAGTTATAATTCTGTATTAGAATTAACCAAACTGATCTCTATGACTCAGTCACCAGAATATCATTAGCAATCAAACCAGATAAAAGGACATCTTCTTTTTTTGTAGCCATATCTGTGAAAATGCTCTATTTGTGTCTTCTTGGAAAACTAATCAACAAATCACAATTATCATTCCTGAAAGACAGCACTTCTACTATACAATATTAATTCCCGAAGCCTACTATTAGAGGCAAACCACCCTCAGGAAAGTCTGTGGTTTTCCAATGCTCTTCAAACTACATTTTCACGTACTCATAACAGAAATTCAATGAACAGATACAGCTCTAACAATCACACTGCCACTAGAGTGGAAAAATTTTAGGTATTGGAAAATAATTTTTTTTTAATTTCACTTCAGTGTTAAAAAGAAATTATGCTATTTTTACTAAGAGTTACATCTTTTGAAAGAACACAAGTATCCAAAAACAAACTGGTTTTGGATTAAAAAATCGACTGTTGCTTTCTAATGTTGCTTTAAGTTATTTATTACTATATCGAATATCTGCATCAGACTCTCATAATCAGTCAACAGTAACTGTGAAACATAACCAAGAAACAGGCACCTATGCAACAGCTGAAGATTGCATTAAAGATAAAAATAAGAGCACTCCACTCCACCTAACATTTCTCCACTAGCATGGACGACAGAGTAAATTACACTTACTGACAGATACTGGTACTCCAGTTTAATCAGCGGATTAAAATGTAACAATGTGATTAAGAAGCTGCTAGCAGCTAGAATTTCCTTGTCTTCCACACACAAGCAAGCCAACAACTAAGATGTCACGGAGGGCTGCCTCGTGCTCGCGGTGACCCGACCCTCCAGGGAGCCCGCTCGGTGACGGGCACCCCGGGCCGTGAAGGTCACCCCAGCACCGCCTGCGGGCACCGCCGCCCCCGCAGCCCCCGCTTACACTGAACAACTGAACAGACGGAGCACAACACAGCGCTACGTTACATCAAAGCATCGCCACCGCCGAGAGAGCCCTGTCAGCTGCCAACCCGGACAGGCGCCGGGATTCCTTCTCCGCCCGGGACCTCGGGGCCAGCCCCACACAACGCCTCACGCTCGGGCCCCGCGCTCCGACCCCAACCAGCCTCAGGAGAGCCGCCGCACCCCCGGCGCGGCCCGCTGTACCTTCCAGCCCGGGTGGTGCCGCGGCCCGGCGGGTACCGGCCCCGGGCGAGAGGAGGGAGGGTTAACCCCTGCAGGGCGTGAGGCACGGAGCGCGCCGCTCGCCCGTGAGGCGGCAGAGCAGCGCCGGGCCGGCGCCGAGTGCTCGCTTACTCGGCCCACGCTGCGCTCCCTCCGGCGCCGCTCTTCCCGCCGCCCCGCATGCAACACAGCGGCGACTGAGGAAGGGCCCCGATGGCTTCCGCTCGGCTCTCGCCCAGAACTACAGCCCCCGGCGGGCCGCCGCCAGTGACGAGCCCCACAATGCGCCGGGCCGCGTAGTGCGGGCGGCCCCCGACGTTGAGTCCGGCGGGGCCGGGAGCGGGGCGGGGTTCTGGCGGGAGGCGCGGCGGCACCGCCGGGCCCCGGCCCTGACTCCGGCGGCGGCGGGCAGGAACGGGCGCTGCCGCCCTGTGAGGCTGCTCGGCTGTGCCGAGGCTCCGCGCTGGCCGCGCCCTCTGCCCCGCGGCAGGGGCAGCCGGGCGGGCCGGGGAGAAGGAGCGACGCACGCCGAGCTCGGGAGGCGGCTGCGGGGAGCGGATCCCTGTCCCGGCCACTGTGGGAGGCGGGGGCCCAGCGAGGAAGGCGAGGTACGAACTTAACGGAACGAGTGAGGAACTGAGGGGGAGCCTGCGGGGCGTCCTTCCGCACTTTCCGGTGCTTTGTCACGGACGGATCATTTCACTCGAGATACACGACCGAGAGCTGCCTCAGTCACTGCGGACGCTGAAGTAGGAGCTGCAGCTCGGCGTCAGCAGAAGCCAGTGGTGCGCGTTCCCGGTACCGGGGCTTCGGCTCCGGAGCTTCACCCTCCCCTAGCTCACACCCACAGTTTCTGTGGCTTTTTCTGCCCTGCACTGTTCACTGGCTGAAGCTTCGGCCAAAGTGTGATGATTGTATCATTTTACATGTACAACACTGTCACTATCTACAGTACCAAAAAAAAAAAAAAAAAAAAAAGCAAAAAAAAAAAAAAAAAGCCTGCGATACAGAAGGAAAAATGTGAGGACTGGGAAATAGTTTATGTGGGGACATGATCCAAAGCCGTATTGAAAAATGGAAACTATGTCAAGCTACATAAGAAAAAAAAAAATTAAAATTGTACTGTTATTTGAATAAATATGCATCACTGGTGTTTCTGTTGGCTGGCTATACATCTTTGAAGTAAGTCTACAATAATTTGACTTTGGTATATCATAGTTATTAAGAGTTTATTCTTCAGCTTAGCTTTTGTGGTTTCATATTGCAAGCAGCAGAATAAATTGTCATGTGTTGCAGAATGAGGCATCTTCTTCACAGGTAGAAGGATGCTGTAGCCATCACAGTGGTAGGCAGCATCCTAAAGAACCTGCAATCTTTTTTTTTTTTTTTTTCCTACTCTGCTACAAACTTCCTTAGTGAAGTTGTAAATCAAGTGCAGATCCTATGAAGGTGCCCAATACCTGGTAGGGATCGACTTTTGTCTCTATTTGGTATCTCTAATAAGGAATTACATCAGATCTCCAAGCAGATCTTCAGGGTAAAAATGTTGCTGGAATGGCTTGGCTATTTGGCAGTGAATGGAGTGGTGGAGGCTTGTTAGCTTTTCAAGAGTGTTCCCTTGATTAAGTAGCATACATAATTTAAATACAGAATATACTCAAGTTTAGCTCCTTAATAAACAAAATTATCAGTTTCTGGTATAATACTTCCACTTTTATAAGTTAACTTTCATACCAAAATTGCATATTAACATGGAACTATTTCCTGTATCTGACTTTATCAGTCACCAAGTAGGATTCCTCATGGTGGCTGGAAAGCTACCTATCAGAAAAGGACCTGGGGTTGCTGTTTGACAGTGTGCCCAGGTGGCCAAGGCCAGTGGCATCCTGGTTTGTATCAGCACTAGTGTGACCAGCAGGATCTGGGAAGTAATTATGCCTCTGTACTCATTAGTGAGGCCAGTTTGCATCTCAAACTGCATTCAGTTTTGAGCCCCACACAAGAAGAAAAACATTGAGGCACTGGTGGGTGTTCAGAGGAGGGCAGCAGAGCTGGTGAAAGATCTGGAGCACAAGTACTACAAGGAGTTGCTGAAGGAGTTTAGCCTGGAGAAGAGGAGGCTCAGGGGGGACCTTCTTCCTCTACAATTACCTGAAAGGAGATTATAGTGAGGTGGGAGCTGGCCTCTTTTCTCATGTAACAAGAGATAAGATGACAATAACTGGCCTTAAGTTGCACCAAGGAAGGTTTAGATTGGATGTTAGGGAAATTTTCTTCATTGAAAGGGTTGTCAAGCATTGGAACGGGCTGCCCAGAGAAGGGGTGGAGTCACCATCCCTGGTAGTGCTCAAAAAACATGAAGATGTGGTGCTTAGGGGCATGGTTTAATGGCAGGCCCGGCAGTGTTAGGTTAATGGTTGGACTCTGTACCTTCGAGGTTTTTTCCAACCTTAACGATTCTACTGTTGAAGACTTGCTTATAGCTAAGGTAAAATAGTCCCATTCTGTACTTACAGAAGCTTTGATACCCTTACTAGACATTTCTCCCACTGCCTAAGCCTCCAAATCATCAGACATAAACTTAGGTTTGCTGGAGGACTTTCAGAGATGCTCCTCTGATCTGTGAGGGAATTGCTTCTCTCTTTTTTTTTTAAATCGAAATCCCTTACAATACTACTTCCTCCCTCACTTGTGAAATGTAAAGTGCAATTGCTTCTGCCTTGCCTTTTTTTTTTTTTTTTGTGAGCTAGTTCAGCTGCACACAGCCAAGCCAAGATCTGCCTAGCACAGCTGTGTTCCTTTAAAACAACAATGATTTCTCTTCCTACAAGCTGCCAAGGATTCATAAGTCTGTTCTTTTTTACTTTTTGCATTTGTACAGTTAACTTGCAATTAAACTGTTTATTCAGAACTGGCAAAAAAATTTCTAAACCCATAAATTAAAAAGGAACACTTGAGTTGACATGTAGTCCTCAGTGTGGAGTTTGAAATTGATATGCTACTTAAATAGAAGCAGACTTTCCCTAAGCTGGAGTTCTGGGGTTTTGTGAATGCCTCACAGTTCTAATTAAGGAGATTTAAGTTTATCACAGGTTTATGTATCATCTTACTTTGCGATTATTTTTTTTTTTCTAGGATAAATGGGTGTGTATGACTTTTCCCCTGATCTAAAGTGGTTCCATGTCTTGTTTGGTAAGTTTGTCTTTAAAAATTTTGGCTGATGTACCTTGTTACCCAGCTATACCTTAGTATGAAAAACCCTGGTGAAATGTATTGCCTGAGGAGATTTCCACAGTGCTGAGATGTTTGAACTTCATTGTGTCAGCTTTTGGTGAAGGAGACTTTAATGTCTCTTCTCTTTAGGTCTGCCATGTATGTCTGCTTTATGCTGTTTCTTAATCCCTTGATTGATTGACTTGTAGCAGAAGACTTTCTGAACTGCTGCTTATAAGGCCTACTTTTTTACATTTTTGCACTGCCATATTTAATAAATTGCAGCAACTCCACCAACATTCACTTGTTTCTGTTCTTAAGGACTGCTCCTGTATTCTGCGTACACCAATTGAATCAATCAGACCAGAAGAGCTATCACAGAGCAGCATCCATGAATGCCTGGTAAGAACAGAAACTAACTCCCAAGGATAAATATAAAGCTGGTGCATATTAAAAAATAGCCAAATTAGGGAGTACTACTTGAAATACTGACCAAAAAAACCTGAGTACTTTGGGGCTTCCACTTTGGGAGAAGACTGTAGGTATCTAAGTGTTAATCTTGTGCCAGTTTGAAAACAAACACACACACACAAAACTTGTAACTCATAAAACTAAGTCTTAATAATGGTAAAAGTACCAGCTTGAATGTTCTTATTTGAGTACTGGACTTTATAATTAATAATGTTTTTACATTAGTTTTAAAAATGTAAATTATTAAAAATTTCGTAGTTATTTTGAGAACTGTTTCTTATCTCTCTTAGGCTGATTCTGATCTAGCCTGGATTCCCCCATCTACAGGGAAGAATGAAATGGTATTTTGCTCCTCTAATGTCTCTCATTATGAACTCCAGCTGGAAATAGGTAACATAAATGGACCTTAAAATATTTCTTCTTCCCACTATCAATAGTTTATTGCTAACTGCAGTAAATATTATGTTTGGAAAATTAAGGACTATTCCTGTGTCTCCTTAGTCGAGAAAAGTGCAGAGCATTGCTTATATCTTAGTAATCTCTTATTTCAAGATCTAAGACAAATCAACAATTACCTGAAATTGTCTCTTGATGTTTGTGCATGTACTTGTCAGTTTTCAAAATCTGTGGTATGTAACAATACAGCCTTAAGTAACATCATTATCTTGTAATATGGCTACTCAAGTTGGTTGTTCTAAAGATGGCTGCCTTAGATCCTACTCTGCATTCATATGTTTATGTGAATATGAATACTAAGTGTTGCTCATTTGGGTGTATAATTGATGCTGACATATGTTCAAACACTTTTAGTTGTTCTCAAAATATCAGAGTCATGCTTCAACTAATTTGCTGCAATTATTTAAGGTCTTGGCATTCTGAAACAAAAGGATGCTGCTATCAATTGCAATTTTAAAACTGGAAAATGATCTCTATATATGAAGGAGACCATGTGATGGGTTTATTATGCTTTCCAATATTAAGGTAGCCATTTCTGGTTTCAGGAAGGAGGTTCAACAATTTAACTTCAGTGTACCTTGCACGGCATACACCTACAGACAGGCAAGTTGCTGTAAGGATCACAGACCTTGAAAACTGCTCTGAAGAGCACTTGAAAGCCTTACAGGTAAAGGAACAGCATTTCTGCACAAAGCTTGATGAAGACATTGAGCAATACATATGAGATTACTGAACAAAGGTAGCCTTTGTTTGAACTGGGTAATTTAGTCAAGTTTTTCCCTCCAAAGGAGTAGAATATAATAAACGTAATGCATGTGTAAATTTGAGAGTTGCTTTCTGAAGACCACAGCTGACAATTGCTTTAGAAATTGCTTCTGTAATTGGACAGCTTACTCGAAACATCTTCTGTACTCTTATTTAACACCAGAAGTTTGGATTATGAACAAACTAGATTTACTTCATACAAATGCAATTATGGGCAAGCTATTTACATTTCTATTGCAGGCTATGCACATCACCTGCAATCATGTATAAATGCAAAGAAACAGTTCTCTTTACTGATTACTGAATGTAGTTAATGCTCTTGGTACAACTGCAGTTCTGTGGTTAACACATCCACTTTCATTTAATTCCATAGAATGAGGTGGTTTTATCACACTTTTTCCAGCATCCCAACATAATGACATTTTGGACAGTGTTTACAGCTGGAAGCTGGCTTTGGGTCATCTCCCCATTCATGGCCTATGGTAAGAACTGTTAACTGCAATTTTGGAATAGGAGAAAGGGCTGATACAAATTGGACCATGTGGTCCATGAGAGGTTTCTCTTTAATAATCTCCTATCTTGTAGAAAAAACAGACTCTCCCAAACCATTTGTTTAGAGAACATTTCTTCCCCAGTGAAAACTGGTATTTGAACTGCATTAAATTCCAATTAGTCCTAGGACCCACTATCTGGGAGATGTATTTGACTTAATACAGCTTCTGCTAACAGAAGACCTATTTACATTGAATACAGATTGGGCACAGACTTGCAGTTAGCAGAAGCATGACATGGAGCATCAGTTATGTCCATGTAATAATGCACCAGAGTCAATATGGAATGCTGTTCTTGATGAGTGTATACAGTGAAGGAAACATAGACAAGTAATTTAATAAGACTTGTTAGGCCTATCTAGTGTTTTTTCACTTCCAGGTTCAGCTAGACACCTGCTGAAGACTTACTTTCCTGAAGGAATGAGTGAAGCTTTGATAGGAAACATTCTGTTTGGTGCAATCAGAGGATTAAATTATATGCACCAGAATGGATATATTCACAGGTAGGAGAATGTCAATAGGTAAGAACCAGAACCAGTATCTTACCTTAAGTATTATTTCCTTCCTTTTCCTCTATACCTTCTTGTATCAGACAGTGCACAAGTAACATTTTTTTTCAATAATACAGCAGGATTAATTTTAACAGGAAATGTATATATGCATTTCTTCAAGCCACTTGTTAAAGGGATTATACATCTGCCTGGCTTTGTCTCTTTGAAGCAGAAGAAAACAAGAGTTATAGAAAGAGCTTCCTCAGTTTACACCCCTTGCAGGGAAGAAGGTCCTTTCTCCAATTTCTGGCAATTTTTTCCTGATCATCTCTCTTAATAGAGAGATGAACTCCATGCTAGCATCTCACTATAAGTCAATGAAATATTAAAGCTTTTCTGTTCTAGTAGTACTTAGAGTAATTCTTATAACTAAAATTTACCACTTTATGTTACAGGAATATTAAAGCTAGCCACATTCTGATTTCAGAGGATGGGCTGGTTTCTCTCTCTGGCTTAAACAACCTCTACAGTTTAGTTAGCAATGGACAGAAGTCAAAGGTGGTGTATGATTTCCCCCAGTTTAGTACATCTGTGCTTCCTTGGCTGAGTCCTGAACTACTGAGACAGGTTAGTATAAATTACACATAATTTTTCCAATTTAAAGTTAGTGGCAGTACTCAATTTCCAACATAAGTCTGCTTGTAGAATTGCAGTGAAATATGTTGAACTGCAACTTTTAAAAATACATGTAGGTACTGAATTTTAATTCTTTTAGAGAGAACCAGTTCTAAAGCTCTTGGTAAGGTGATGCTGTACTAATTCTCTTTACCCAAACCTCCTGGAAACTACTCTAAATCCTGAAGCTTGTGTTCACTACACCCATCAGATTTCTGAAAACAAGTCTGAAGTTTCACAATTTAATTGCTTTAATACTGTGTAGGTTATGGGGTATTCCCTTGTTTTGAAGCAGGCACTTGTATCTTTGTTGGCACCACTCAATGGCCTCAGTGATCAGTAGTGTCTTCCTTCTCTTATAGGATTTGTCTGGCTATAACATGAAGTCTGACATTTACAGTGTGGGAATTACAGCATGTGAATTAGCCAATGGACATGTTCCATTTCAAGATATGCCTCGCACTCAGGTATAATAGAGATAAAAACATGCTGAGCATTTTTTTGTTTTGGTTTACTCACAGAAACCAGTGCTATTACTGCTGAAGTAACGGCTGCTTTTTGTTACTTCAAATATGCATGCCTCTTTCTAGAATAAATAATCTTTCCATCCCTGGAGTTTCATAGCTTACCCTGAATAGGTCTGGATAGCTGTTGAACTCTTATACTGCTATTCTTTCCTACTAGATGCTGCTGCAAAAGCTGAAAGGTCCCACCTACTATCCTTGGGATATAAATACCTTTCCTCGAGGGGAATCAAGGATGAAGAATTCCCGATCAGGTGTTGATTCTGGAATTGGTGAGAGCATGACACGCACAATGACCAGTGAAAGACTTCAAATGCCCTTTTCCAAAACATTTTCACCTGCTTTCCACAACTTGGTAGAACTTTGCTTGCAACAGGACCCTGAGAAAAGGTAACATTATGGTGAAAACTAGTATTTTGTTACTACCATCTAAGACTAAGTATAGCGCATAGCTTAGAATACAGTAATCAGTTGAATGCTGTTAGAGCCAGAATTTCAGAGCAGATGTACTATGTAAAACCATACACTTACATTTGCATTTTAAGAAATGTCTTGTCTGAAAAAGGAATCAAACTTTTAAATTAATTTGGCCCCTGAATTTCTCGTAATATAAGTGTTCTTTGTAACAAGTAAAATTAACTTTCAAACATTTACTTTGTCCAAGAAAAAAAAAAAAAACAGAAATCTGAACTACACATTTTCAATTCTATGTCTCTTTTGAATGAGACATTTAATTCCTTGTTAAGCAGAAACATGAAAAGGCCTTTAAAAATTGATTTCTTCAGTAGTGCTTTCACTACAAATTGAGGCATAGTATGTAGGAATTGTGTGCTGCTTTTCTCATTCTTCACATTTGTCTTGTGGAGAAAAAACCACTTGGCTTAAATTTATTTCTCAATCTGGCCCATTATCCAAATGCAGTATTTTACTTTCCAAAACATAATTATATTGTTCATTTTATGATTCAGGCCATCAGCAAGCAGTTTGCTTTCGCATACGTTCTTCAAACAGGTGAGTTTACTATACTTCATTAAATGATACAGCTATAACCTAAATAAGCTACAAAAAGAGCTAGATTACAAAATAATGAAGTTACCTGGAGCCAAAAAGCATCCTGTAAGAGCATACCTGCTTCAGAATATTTTTTAACAAAATGGTATTTATAGAGTATAATAATCATAAGATTAATCAGTTTCCCCATTGATTAAGTTGATTTAACTTAACTAAAGGCAGCCTAACTAATTTTAAGAAATCATTAATATTCTTAATTTAAAGAATAAAAAGCAGAACCGCACAACTGATTTCATTAGTGTTGCAATACTAATAGAGTGGTGAAAACTAAACTTCTCATCCTTTTACTTTCAGTACTGTAACATGCAAGAATATGGCTCTGATTTCACATGTTTTTAATGAAGTCATTTGCAAAGTTATGGAGACTTTTTTATGCAGCTGCATTTTAATTTTTTTTTATTTCTAGATAAAGGAACAAACACAGAATTCACTACTGTCCCTATTACCACCTCCTATTCAAAATAACAGATCAGAGTTCTTGGCACTGCCTTCAACAGCAGTTGGGACTGAACTTGGACATATTGCTACAAATCAAGATGATACAGACTGGGAATTCTAAATAAATACCAATGATACCTCTCCAGTGTTTCAGAGAAGGAAAATGTGATTTGTATTTGCTGCTTTTGTATGATTAAAATACAGTTAGACCAAGTATACTTGAAATGACATGAAGTGCTATAATTCATTAACTTCCTCTTGGCATCACAAAATGCAGTGTGCCTCACTCTCTGTAAGGAAAACTGTGTATAAAGAATGGCTGAATCTCACCTTTCTCTTTCAAAGTCTTCCTTAACAAGAGAGTCCCTGCTGTAATCTTACTCTGTACTGTATTATCAGCTCATAGTGCTGCAGTCCACATGCCTTTCTGAATTCAGGCCTGGGGTTTGGCTGTGATCTTACCTAAACATCTATTTGTCTTTTCATTATCACCCAAATCATTTTAATAAGGAGAAATCCTCCACTTCCAAGTTGAAATGTGAAACTGCACAGATTACTTGCTTATGTAAATAAATGTTTCTCTCTCAAAAGACATTTTTCTCACTTGACATGCTGTCATATTTGTCAAAAGTTAGCTATTAATAATTTTTCATGCAGTTTTAATACTGTGTTTTTCCCAGAGAAGTTAACCTTCTTGGAAGTAGGACTCCTGCTCTTGCGTCTGTTCACATTCTTAGTACAAATCTGGGCTTTTGCACCTCTGTTTATTGTTGTATCATTTTAGCAGTTAATCTGAGGATAGTTTTGAGGACAAAGTAATTTGGCTTTCCTTCCTAAATGCATATTTATTAATATTTGACCCAGATGCTGGTGGCATGGCAATGCACACATTTCTCTACATTGCTTCTCTTTTGACTTTCAGTCAGGATATTTTTTTGGCAATTTTTCTTTTTCCTTATGCTGGACTTGTAAAATGACACATTTTGGGTAGTTTGGTGAACCATGGCCTACAAAGGTGCTCTGCTTGAATATCAGCATCACAAGCATTTAAAATGGAAGAATTTTACTGTTCCAGTCTTCGTTCGTACTCTTACTGTGAGACTTTTTAACAGTTTCAAATTTATAGAAATTTCTTTTTAATTTTTTTTTTCAAAAGTGGTTATCGGTTTGTTTGTTTTGGGATTTTTTGGGGGGTTGTTTTGAGTTTTGTTTTTGGGGTGAGAAGGGGTGGAGAGTACCCTAAAGTACATTAATCTGTTTATTTTGTTTATTTTCACTGTGGCGATTAACTATTACATCTAGCAGTGCGTATGGATGTTTATCCACGAGAAGATCTTGCTTTTTGTCTCTGTATCACTGTTTGAGGCCTGCTGGTGTCCCTCTGAATAGCCGATCGCGTTGCCCCAAACCAACGACCGACGGCAGCGCAGCCGCTTCCCTCGGGCCGAGTCCGACACGGCGGCCCCGCCACCGCCCCCTGGCGGCCGTGACCGCTGCCCGCGCGGGCAGGGCGGGAAAACGGCTGAGGGGGAGCGGGATGAGCAGGGCAGGGCTGAGGGGGAGCGAGATGGGCAGGGCAGGGCTGAGGGGGAGCGGGATGGGCAGGGCAGGGCTGAGGGGAGCGGGACGGGCAGGGCTGAGGGGAGCGGGATGGGCAGGGCAGGGCTGAGGGGGAGCGGGACGGGCAGGGCAGGGCTGAGGGGGAGCGGGATGAGCAGGGCTGAGGGGGAGCGGGATGGGCAGGCCAGGGCTGAGGGGGAGCGGGATGGGCAGGCCAGGGCTGAGGGGGAGCGGGATAGGCAGGGCAGGGCTGAGGGGGAGCGGGACGGGCAGGGCAGGGCTCAGGGGGAGCAGGATAGGCAGGGCAGGGCTCAGGGGGAGCGGGACGGGCAGGGCTCAGGGGGAGCGGGACGGGCAGGGCTCAGGGGGAGCGGGACGGGCAGGGCAGGGCTGAGGCCGAGCGGGGTGGCAGGGGCAGGGCTGAGGGGCAGCGAGGTGACTGCGGCGGACAAGCTGCTCGGCAAATAAACGCACCGGGGACGGGAGGGCGACACAAGGCAGGAAAAAACATCCCCAAAAGCACCTGTCCCCAGAAGCAGCAGCCGGCGGGTCTCAGGCTGGGAGGCCTCCTTTTGGCCTCCGTGAAGGGAGAGAGCAGCCCTGGGGGCACAGTACAAAAATAACACCCAGGGAAAACAGCCTTTCTGCAAGTATCTGGGGACTTACACAGCAATTTCAAGCACAGCCGCCCTGAGGAATGCAATAGCACCGTCCACACCGCTATGAGGAAACAAGGAAGAGACAGGTAAGGCTTAGGCTTAGCTGTAGGTATTTACCTAATGGTTTTCTCTGATCTCCCAAAGTCTTCAGTCATTTAAATACATTCTGCTGGAAATCTACAAGCGAGTAATTCTCACCTAATCATAACCCTTCTAAAGTTTACCTCAGCAATACCAAAACTACATTAAAAAGACACTCTGCAAATTGATGTCCCCTTGGCTTCATTTTGAGAAAATTGCCTTGAGAGAGTAATGTTTAAACCAAGTCGAAATTAACCAAATATTAAATTACTACAGTAACTTAAGTTCTAGTTTTCCAATTTAGCTTTGGAGTCCAGCCTCTGCTCAGGCTGCATGGGGCTTTTATCCACCCAAGTCTGGAGCAGCCCCAGACAGCCCCTCAGCCTCCCATCCCAAATCCTCAGACAGACTGATTTATTTTAAGCAGACTAAACAATTGGAAACAAGACAAAGTAGTACCATCATTTCTAACTAGTTTACAGCAATTGTTTAATATATGTTTCATATATGTAAAAACAAGACCTTGGCACCAACATATCTGAAAACTTTTTTTCATTAACACAAATGAATTAAAAACAATGATATGGAAATGCACAAGGGCATTTCAGTTAAGGCTTCTACAAATATTGCATGTTCTAGAATTAAACAAGTATTTTGTAAACATGTTCTAAGACTTTACAAGAAACTAAAAAAAAAAGCTCACTTAAACTTATATTCCACTGTGAGGCTTAATGGAATGAAAAGTATTTTGTAAAATAGATAATTAGCCATCAAACTGTTTATTGTGCTTTTTATATGGCAACCTCAAAACTCATTAATTTAAATACGGATATACTCAGACTCTCCTAAAAATATACACAGGAAAGGCAAGCCTGGCTTGAAATACTGATCCTATTAAGTTCATTAATTCAATCCCTGCTCAAACATATAAAGACTATAATATTTCACAATAAGAATGAATCTGGCTCTTGGCTGGCATCACTTTGTCAAAGGGATAGCTGGAAGGCCAATCCTAGTGTTAATGTCAGAAATCAAGCGATGATGTTATCCAAGTTTTTCCTGTACTGATGTAATGCCTCAGCACACTTCTGCTGACCTCTGTATTTTATGGGCAAAATGGTATTTCTGACCATACCAAGATCAAAGAAAAATCATGCAGCCATGTCATTAATAATCTTGTCTTCAGGAGGTAAATGACTCTGTAAGCAAACACACAACATCAGGAGAAAGTGTGGTGGCAAGCTACATGGAACACTTCCTGTATCATCCCTCATCTCCTACAGCCAAATCATGGCAAGAACATCAATGCACAACTGAAGGAGATCAGCACCCTGAATCTCTCCATTTTAATGTACAGTGCAGTGCCAGCTGTAATTTAGCTCTAGTTTTACAAAAATATAGACACAAGAGCCACAACAGTTTCTAATAGAGGCTAAGGGCTCCTTTCCACAGCAAACTGAACACCTCAGAATGCAGCCAACAGCTGTGGAACATCTTTTAATTCTTGTAGATGTCTTTTTCCTCCCTGCCAACATTGTCACGGCATTTAAAAGATGTCATGAACACTGAATTTTTGAATAACTAAATTTGCTGAATGGACACAAAAGAACACAAGTCCTCACCAGGGCAGAAACAGCCCTAGTTATTCACGTTCCCATGTTTGCTTTGAAGCAACTCAGGTAACAGCACAAAGTTAGCACAGTTAGCACTGAAAGCTCTTTGACATTTCCTTTCAAGTATTATCTGGATACTCTTACTTCACTACTAAAAAAGTTCAGTAATTCTTTAGTGAACTTTGACAAGTGCACCCCTTTTACAACCACCCACAGACACAGGTATTAAATCAAACAAGGCAAAATCAATATATGTTAAGTAACGCATACAAACAAGTTTTGGGCTTTAGGTGACATTTTCTTGATAAATGGTTTCCAAACTAGACCTTATCTGTGTTTACTAAGGAGATTGTTTCTTGCTGCAATATATCTGCATTTGTTCACATCTGCAATGCTTTCATTTTGCCACTTTAATATAAAGGAAAAGGTATGTTGGATCTCGTCAGCAGAACCCATCGCCTGCCATGATTACTACTACGTCACTGCATAGGTGGGTTGCTGCAGACTTTTTGGGTTAATTTAATAAGCATTTTCTTGTAATATTAGGAAGAAACTTCCCATTCTATCCTAACACAAAACAACAATTTGGCAGAAAACAATCTCCATCAAAATAGGTAGGAACATTTTTAGCATCTATGAAATCCAAGTCTGTTTAGAAAGAGCAGTGAATAAAATGACTGCTCTTGCAATACCAGATCAGGAGAAATCATAACACTATTCTTGTGAATGGCTTTGGAACAGTTACACTTCTTGACTGTTGAGAAATTACAGGACATGGATACATCCTGTTGGCAACACAAAATGATGTGAAGATGTTCACAAAATGAACTGACCAAAGTGTTGCAACATTAAAACTTCTTTGTCTTGTATCCACATCAGCCTGTAAGAACTTGTTATCATCAAGATTTTTGTCAAGAGAACTAAATGAAGATTTAAAAAGTGGATTTTAATAATCCTCTTTTATGGATTACTAAATAAAATCCCTGTCAATTTAATCCTTTATTCTCAAAAAATATTTTATGACAAATAAATGTAGATTATTTTAAGATTACTAACTTGATGAGGTTTATATTTCCTACCTCTCTTTTGTTATAAATTTTCCTTAGGCTACTTTTGTTGTAAGATTTTTTTTTTAATCTCTAGAAAATGTTTAACCAAATCAGATAAGCTAACTGCTGTTTGCATTAGTAACAAAAGTGGGTTGTTGAAGACTGTACAGCAGTCAACAAAGCACTGAACACCTTATCTTCTGCATCCTTCTAGTGTCTTTGGCTATGTACGTAGCAGTATTTACAAAATCACCTTGACTTTATGCACTAGGGATAATCTACTTTGTAAAATAAAAAGCAAAAATATAAAAGTTTTCAATCACATTTGGAAACTGTAACATACATAAAAAGATCAACATTAAATATATACAATATAAAAATACACTTTTTTCTTTATGAAAATTATAATACATAGCTATAATACAACATATTGAGCCATCAGTCACAGCTACAATATATGCAGATTCTTGTTCCACACTTATGGCTGGACTCTGGGTATGACATCTCCGTGAGGAAATTCCTCAATTTCAGAATGAAACATCAATTCTAAAAGAGAAAGGAAAGAATTACATTTTCTTTCAAAACTTTCACCTGAATACAATTCCATTATTCCTGAAAAGTACCCTGGCATTCCCCCAAGCCTCCTGCTTTTCATCCCAATCATATCATCAACAACTCAGTGATGGCAAGGGCCACCAATATTTTTAGAAAACTATTGCTGCTCCCCAAAACTGACAGGATTGGTGACAATGTTAGCAGTTATAAATTTTACCATTGAGGACTGTAAAAGCTGGCACTTAGTTGTTTGGGGTTTTTAAGTCAGTACATGATTTATTAGAAATAAACACAGTAACTGGAGCCAGCTGAAATACGGACATGTTTACATTAAAATTCAGAAGTAATTTGAAGAGGCATGTTGAATCCTCAGCCTCCCAAACACAAACCTGTGCTTCAAGTCACGGTGTTCTTAGGATGTTTTGACTTTTAAGTTGAAACTTAGGATTTTTATGTACAGCATACCTTCAAGTGACAGGCTCCATGCACTTGACAGGAATGCTGAGTTAGGACACACCTTTTGGATCCCAGGTGGAACACAAAAGGAAGAAGGCCCAGTTTCTAGCCAAGTTTCTTCAATGAGAAGAACTTGCTTCCCCCTCCTCCAGCCTGGACCAGCACAAGCCGTCCTCATCTGAAGTCCTGTTCTGCAAGCACAAATCTGGCTTTTCAAAGCTAGGGAGTTCCCAAAACTACTGCAATGTCCTATTGAAAATAATACTGAACTTGTACCCTATTTAGCACTTGCAGAAGGAACATTAATAACATTAGAGAATTTTCTAAGACACACATAGAATAAATGCATTTCAAATATTTAAAATATTGTTCAAATATTTTAAATTATTTTTCTCTTCATTGAAAAGAGACCTTCTATAATGTTTCAAAATCCATGTTGCTTCAGACAGGACAAATAAAGCTTTTATTTTTAAAATATGTTTATAATACCAAACACAGACACCAGTATCCTAAAAAGCATTTGCTGTGCAAAGTTGCTAAGAGATACTTGTTCTTCCTCAGTCACAAAATTTCTCAGGACTAGTCTTGAACACCAAATGCAGAGCACAGCAGATAGAAAATCCCAACAATTTGAATAAACAACATTTTGCCTATTAATGTTTCCTACCTTCACTGTGGTCCAGCTCTGGCCGGGAACTTAAGAAGATCCAACTTGTCCCAACTAGAACAGACACTACGAGATTCACCACAACCCACGAATGAACAATTTCTGCCTCTGTACCTGCAGTCCTGGGAAAGACACATCAAACCATCAGTCATCATTTGTCGCTGTTGAGGCAGGATGGGAACGAAGAGACTGGACTTAGAAAGCTGTGAGAGTAAAACTCTGATTTATTCAAAATATACTGCTTTTTTATATAGAGCTTTCTGAGGACCAAATTCATTGGTCCTGAAGTGAAAACAAGTTACAGCACTGGTGTAAAGTGCTTGATGCACAGTGATAGAACTTAACTACAAGCAATGTGAAAAACAAGAGAGACAAAGAATTAGTTACATTTTTCTCTAGCTTTTTTCCAGGCTTTTGCCTGGCTAGAAATTTTTAGTTTCTTTCTTTGACTCAATCTTAGACCCACAATCATTGGTGCAAAGAAGTTACAATAAGAATTGCAACAGAGTAACATCAAAACAAGTTTTCTAAACCAGATGTGAAAAGAGAGCTACTTGTACCATCCATGATGGTCTTGCATTGCAAAGGCCTAGTAAAGAGAACAATTACCAAAGATCACGGAAACCCTAAACCTCCACCCCCACAAAAAACTAACTGCCCAAACC